CACAACTAGATTGAAGAACAAAATGACAGCAACTTGTCTGTTCCCCTTCCCCCAATTCCCCAGCACTGTTCCCATCCCCCCAATTCCCCAATAAAATTTTTTAAAAATCTAAAAATAAGCAAACATATATTGTAATGTGTATTCCATTATTTATACCACATTTTGTTTATCCATCCATCTACTGATGGGCATTTGGGTTATTTCCACCTTCTGGCTATTGTGAGGAGTACAAGTTTTTGTTTGAACACCTTTGTTTTTCAATTCTTTTGTGCAAATACCTAGGAATAGAATTACTGGGTCATATGGTATTTCTATGTTTAACCTGTTGAAGAACCACCAAACTGTTTTTGACAACAGCTACACCATTATCAACCTCTTAGCAATACATGAGGGTTCCAATTTCTCCACATCCTTGCTAACATTTATTTTCTGAGGTTTTTTTTTTTCTTTAAATGGCTGTCATAGTGAATGTGAAGTGATATTTCATTGTAGTTTTGATTTGCATTTTTCTAATGACTAAAGCACCTTTTTATTTGCTTTACCCCCCTCAAAAAAGGGTCAAGTCACCATACCATTTTACATTATCAACATTAAGTGCTGTATCCTTTTAAAACTTTTACTGTAATAGTTATAAAATGGTATACTGATGTGGCTCAAATATGAATTTTTCATATCAAAGATTTTTCATGTCATTAACTGACTTCATTTCCCTATATGTAAAGTGTGTCTGCATTAAAAAAAAATAAACAGCTTCTTTACCTTTGTAACTGTCGAGTCCAACATAAACTTTTCATATTAGTACCTACGAATAAGAAAAACATAAAACAGAATAAGGTAAAAATAGGAAAACTACAGGAAGAAAAGTCTAGCTTTTCTACCTACTAAAAACTATCTTGGAATTCTCAACCCGTTGGAAAACCTGTACCTCATAAAGTTTGAATGACTACTTATGCCATTCCTTGTTCCAAAAAGGATTTGAGACAGAAATTTTGAAGGTAAAGAAGAGTGAAAAAAGAATGAAGATCTTGGCGTCACTAGACCTGATTTTAAATTCTGGCTCCAATTCTGATCTACACATCTTCACTAAAGAAAATCAAATTCCTAATTTGAAAGAGTGCGTGTATGTGTACACGCTGAGGTGAAGCCACCTGACTGGATATGAACGTGAGTCCTCTCTAGTTCAAAACTTTTATAACAAAGGTGTTCAGGTTTTGTTATCAAGTGATTGTTTCCATAAAATAATTCCTAAAAACTGCATTATACTTTTTGATGTATTAAATATTGCATAATGAATAACTGCAATAGAAAGAGCTAGTTGACAACCTCTCTGGCAAACCAAGGAAAACCAGAAAACTGTAATTCTGACATGCCAAACCTATCCCATATCTAAGTGCAAGGTCGGTGGAATTCTGCCTTCAGGGGTCACCATCATTTTCAAAAGAAAAGGGTGAAAAAGATTCAAGAATATTTAAATGGACTTCACTCATCTACTCCCCTACCTTTAAAAAGCTTATTATTGAAGTATAACATTCTTACTAAAAAGTATACCAATCACAAATGTACAATTCAAACAGTTTTCATAAAGCACACATATCCACATAATTACCCCCTAAGATTTTTAAATAGCAAAAGAATATCAGAAGCTCTGAAAAGTCTTCGTGTCCTCCCAATCAGCCCCTCCCAAGGTAAGCACTATCCTGACTTCTAGCCCCAAACATTACTGTTGCTTTGTAGTAAGTTTTGAAATCAGGAAGCGTGCATTCTCCAACTCGGTTCTTTTTCAAGATTGTGTTGGCTATTTATGGTCCCTTGCAATTCCAAATGAATTTTAAGGTCACTTCTTTTCATTTTTGCAAAAAAAGCCTATTGGGGTTTTGACAGGGATTACACTCAATCTGTAGATCACTTGGGGGAGTACTGCCATCCTAACAATATTAAGTGGAAGATGACTTAATTTTATCATAAAAAGTATGAGTGCTATTATTAACTTTAATAGGGAAAATGCTGCTTTGCAGTTGAGGCCAGTATATCTGGTTGGAGTCTCCCCTTAAACTCACCTAGCAAAATTAACTGAACTATGTGACACAAAAGGTGGCAGTGGTAGACAGAGAGAAATGCAGCATAACCTAGAATGACTTCTGTACACATTGACATGTAAAATAGTTGTTTCCCCTCCTGATTTCAACAATTCTGGTAGTGTAGGAAACAGAATTATACAACAGTAAATAAAAGTTTATATGACCAAAGCACTGGGAAGACACACAACTCTTCCCTTGTTCAATCCGCCCTCTCACGAATCCTTGCCAAGATAAATGAGAGGGAGCTGGGCAGGTTTTAGTTTTGTGATTTATAACCAAACCACAGACCTGGGACAAGGGCCTTTCATTTCTTGCACAGGACTGTTTAAAACATTAACTCAGTGGAAGATGCCAAAAGTTTCCAAAAAGGAAATATTCCAGGAGGGTTAGGAAGTGATAATCATAGCACATTCAACCTTTGCCTATTTCCCCTGGATCCCAAAATGATCTACTCCTATGGGCTTGGAAAACACAACCTCTACTGGGAACACATTGTCATCATTTTCCATACACTTCTGCATCCATTTTCTCTTTCTGATAAACACTGGGAAGTTTATCAAACATAGGACAATCCTTTTAATATATTAAATGTTCCTTCATGTCCCTGGCTTAAATGCTTTGGCAGTGCAGCTCTGCCACAAATACTGGCAGGGAGCCTGTAGTATTCCCATTGAAGTAACATGGACCTCAAAACATTGTTTCTGGACACTGTCCCTGATCTTAGTCACACTGGGTGACTCCTGCTTAATTCCAGTGGAAGAGTGTGAACCTCAGAGCTTCTGCGGGAAATGAATCACTATAGGGTCCAGGTCAAGGAGGCTCCCATGGGTCATCTTGGGCCAAAGAGAAAGCTGCTCCAGAGCTTTGTTTCTTAAAGGAAGAATCATGTCTAACTCTAAATCCCAATCGCCCCACCCCCAGCTTTTGGAATCTCTTTTAAATTTAGCCTACAGGATTTGCTCAGTAGGTACTGGTTAGATGTAGTGACCATCAGTCTCTAATGTAGAGGACATCAAAATCATCTGTGAAACTTTCAAAAGACACAGATCAGAAACTCTACCCCAGATTTATTCAGCAGGTCTAAGGCTGGTGTCCAAGCATTTCCAGTTTAAAATATTCCATAGGTAATTCAGTTGAGAATTCAAGGTTTAAGGTACCCTCCCTTCTATAAACTACAGCTCAGCTAACTCATTTTGCTTAAAAGAATAATACCGTATGGACAGATTGGGTTATGGGGGAGATGTCTTCCCTGGGCCTCTAAGAGATTTAAGTCCTAAATTTTCAACTCAGGCCCTTCATTTTCATTCTGACTGGAGAAAAACAAGCGCCACCTTTACAATGGTCCTTCACATCACTCCAGCCATGTCCCTGTGCATTCATTCTTAAAAATTTTTTTCTGTATCTTATGTTTTGACATCTTTAAAATCTTGCTGGTGGGGAAAGTGCCCTTCCCAGGACTAGCTAATTCCTAAAGATAGCAGCCAACTCCCTTGGAAGCAGCCTCTCATATGCAAAGCAAACTACTCTCATAATCCAAGCCAATGTTGCCTCTGCCCCAAAACATCCCAGGGCCAGGTAACAGGCGATTAAAGACCATTCCTATAGCCCAGAGCTTGCCAGAATTATTCAAACGAGCCAATCCTAAAAGGCTTACCCTGCCCTGCTTTGCCTTTCCTATGGAATAAAGGCTCTGACCTTAGTTTTCTCCTCACTCCTGCTTCTGCCTCCTGACCAAAACCTTCCGTGTGGTGTGGCATGCTCTCTTCTCTCCAGAAATGTAATAATTCTTTTTCTTTCAATGACATTGGCCTCTCCGTGCTGTCACCCACTCACTTTACTTTTATAAAGTAAAAATCTGTTGGTACAAATGAGACAACCCACCAGACTCAAGCCTCTGTGCTGCCTACTATTCTTATGCTATCTACTTAACTGATCCAATTGAAAACCATATTACAAACTAACTTAGGTTTCCAAAACCAAGTTACAACTCCTGAACTCCTTCATACAGAAAAAGGTCTTGGAAGTGCTATTCGCATTTGACACTCACTACTCAGAACTAAATGTGGTATGACCCAGCAATTACACTCCTAGGTATACATCCAAGAGAAAGAAAAACACAAAACTTGTACATGAATGTTCACGGCATTATTTATAATAGCCAAAAAGCAAATCAGCCCAAATGTCCATCAACTGATAAGTACTTAAACAAAATGTGGTATATCCATACAAGGGAATATTATTTGGCCACTAAACTAATCCATTCGAGCTACATGAAGCTTAAAAAGTGCCAGACAGAAAAGGCCATATATTGTATAAATCCACTTATATAAAATGTACAGAATAGGCAAATCCATAGAAACAGAAAGTACATTAGTGATCAGGGGATGGAGTAAAGGAGGAATGGGGAGTGACTGCTAATGGGTACCAAGATTTCTACTTGGGGGTTATAAAATATTCTGGAATTAGATAGTGATGATGGTTGCACAACCTTGTGAATGTACTAAAAATGACTGAATCATACACTTTAAAGGGGTGAATTTTATATGTTAATTATATCTTTAAAAAACCACACCTGTCTCTTCCCTCCAAACCTACTCTTCGTGAATTCCATTTTCCAGTGCTTGGGACCACATTCTACTCAGGCGCTCTGGCCAGAATACTACAAATTGTAACAAATAATTAGGTCACGACAATTCAAATGTTTTAATATTTCTCCATTCCAACTTCTAAATTCAGGCCATCCTCATTTCTCACCGAGATCATAGCAGCCTCCTAATGGGTCCCTAGTCTTAACCTCCGCAGATCCATTTTTACAATGCAACTAGAACATCCTTTAAAAACAAAATCTTCAGTGGTGCCCAATGACCCCAGGTTGAAGTTCAAACCCTTAATATGATTTATAAACTCGCGTTTTCAGCCTGTGGCGAACCCCTCCCGGCCAGGCTGGAGACCGTGGGTATCACCTCAGCTTCCTCAAGCACTGGATGACCCTCCAGCTAACGCCTTTCCACCTGCAGGCCGCCACCTGTTCACTATCTCCGGGAAAGAAGCTCTCCCGCCCCGACGGGCCGCATTTGGTGGGTCTCTAAACCCACCTCCCTCAGTTTAGCCTTCGGTTCTTCAGGCAGGTGCGCTCTGAGGGCCGCCATTGAATCCGCAAACATTTCCCGTGTGAACCGTGGTGAACCCAAACTTCAACTTAAAACTGCGGCGGTGCCCTGAACTCACCCTGAGCTCTTCTTCAACATTTAATACTTTGCCGGGCACCGCTGCACCAACAGCGACAGCCACCACCTAGACCAGCTGCCGCACTACCATAGGACGCCACGCCACGCCTCGCCATGCCTCGCCCCGCCTCACGCCCTCCGGAAACGCTCTTCACAGCGCACCCAGGCCGCAGAGGAGGATGGGAAGCGAGCCTCCCTGACCGCTCTGCGCCTGCGCAGACACAACTCTCCACGGGGGCGGGAACCGGCGGGCGCAGGCGCAGGCGCGAGGGTCTCCGTTGAAACGGTGCCGCGGCGGCGCCGGAGGTAGGAGGAGTTGGGCTTTGGGGCTAGGAGTCTGCACCCGGGAGGATGAGGTCCAGCCACCTCGGGCCCTTCTCGCTTTCCAAAGGGAGAAGAACCTTTCTTGCCCGCCTTCAGCCGCGGTGTAGAGGCAGGAGCCGCGTTTGGGTGGAGAAGGCCGGGGCCGCCTGAAGGGAGAAGTGGGGGGATCCGGATACCTACGGAGTCACTGCCCCGGGGTCAGTCTGGCGATCGGAATTCGCCGTCAGAGTCCTTGGCAGCCCTTCCCTAGGTTGAGCCCCCTGACCATTTCCCGTGTGTCACCAGGTTGAGGGGAGCGGGAGGGTCCGCCCCTCACCTGCCCATTCATTCATTCTTCCTCTGCTGTGACAGCCCGGCGCTGCGGTAGGTACAACGCTTAGTAGGCACAAGTCTCCCGCCCTCTGGAAACTCGCGGTTTCGTAGGACAGGCTACATCCTTCAACAAATACTAATTGAGCACGTATAGGAGATAGACTGTTTTAAGACTAATAACAGAGATGTGGAGACAGCGCAGTGTGGTGGGTGGAATTTGCTCTAGCTCCCCACATCCAACAGAATAAAATTCAGTTTGGTTAGTGTGACGCTTCAGGTGCTCGGACACTGATCTCTGCTTCTCCCTGAAGCCTTCTTTCTCACCACCACTTTCTCTTTGATCCGATTGGTATCTTTGCAGTTAATGAATTCAACAAATAATTGTCCAGCACTTTTTACAAGTCAGGCGTCTGTCAGCCAAAGAATACGAAGTAAAATTGATGAGTCTGTTAAAACTTCCTTTAAGTTTTGAGCTTAGTAGGAGACAGGTCATAAATAAATGAATAAAAATATAAAGAACCCGTGCTCTGGATCCACACTACCTGGATTTGATCCCACCCCCTCCACTTCAAAAGCTGTATGAACTTGAGCCAATTCCTCATTCTTGTGCTTGACTCCTTGCTGTAAAGAAGGGATGACAGTAGATTCTACCAAATAGGATTGTTGTAAGGATTAAATGAGTGAGACTTGTAAAGCAGTTGGACTGGTGCCTGGCATACAGTAAGCATTCAATAAATGTTATCTATTACATATGATTATAACTTGTGATAAATGCCATTGTAAAAACTGTAATGAAAGAAAATAATAGGGGCAGAGAGGGTCTACTTAGACAAAGGATGAGGGGAAGCTTCTCTAAGGAGCTGACATGGAAGATGTGAATGAGCCAGCCATGCAAAGTAGAATCTAGATATGTGTGTCTGCCCTGCTCTGGAAAACTAGATAATTAATTGGATTACTTGGACAGTGAAGATTGCATTATTGTATTTGAAATGAGCTTTCTGCCATTGGGTCATTCAATTTTTATTTTTGAACACCACTAAATTGTGCTGATGTACATAATGATGCCCATAAGACCCAGCCTTTGCATTTGGGCAGCATTATAGTAACCTGAGTTTGGAGAGCTCTTGCTGGGATGAGAGGATGGAGAAAGTGGCCTTTTTTTTATTTGGAAATATTGATTGTATCAATGAAGAATCAGCCTCCTGTGTTCCTATCTTTTGCTTGTTCCTATCTCCTGAGTGTTCAAGAGCATTTTCTCTTCTCTCTCTTTCACTCTCACTCTCATTACATTGCCTGCTGATAGAGTGATAGAGCCTCTAGTAGCTGGAGGCCTTGTACCAACATAGGCCTAAAAGATAGTTTTTTTGGATCATCACGTTTCTGTGGTGACTGCCCTTCATGGGATTCATTCCCCAGACTTAGCAAAAACAATACTCTTCCAAGATGCCCATGTCTCTCTGGCCGTGAAAGAGCGAGCTTTGCAGGTTTCTAGACACCATCCCCCAGTTGTGTCGTGATGTCCTATAGGATGATGGGTCTGTGTTAATCAGGCTGTACCTGAGAATTTGACAGGGGTATTGTTACTCCCATACTCCACATGCTCTTGTACCTTCCTGGAAGAAATGGCTTAAAATGGCAATACCTGTCTAATTACACTTAGATGCTTTTGGTTTTCCACAGGTGTGAATTACATGAACCAAGCGTGCTTTAGCACCATGGAGATCTTGGAGAAGAACCTGAGCACCAAGTTCATATGTATTCTATCTCAGAGGCATCTATTGGCCAACAAAACCTCTCAGATGTGAACTTTAACAGAAGCTTTAAACATGCTGTTTAACACAGGCTCAATTTGAAGAAAAACATTTTAAATCCTTATAAAGGGGGAAATAGTACCTGTTGCTCAGTTGTACAAACTCTCCAGGTATCTCAGTGAGAAGTAGACAGGAACCCTAATGAAGCTGTGAGTCTGAATGGGGCCCAACTAGGCTCGTTCTCGGGCTCCCGGATCGACCCTCACTCTTCTGAAGACCAGCTTAAAGAAAGCCTTAAAACTGGCCAGATGATGGATGAGTCAGATGATGATTTTAAGGAACTCTGTGCCAGTTTTTTCCAAAGGGTGAAAAAGAATGGCACCAAGGAAGTGTTGGGGATAAAGAAGACACAAAAGGCCTCAAACAGCACTCAGATAACAAGCAAGCCAAAAAGGACCAAAGCAGCTGCTACTAAGAGCAAAACCCTTCAAGGCCCCAGGGAGAGGAAGACTCGATCTGGCAGCCAGGCCCCAAGGACTAAAAAGCAAGCGGCACCCAAGTGGCAAGAGAGTGAACCAGCTCCCCCTGAGAATGGGGAACGAAGTGTGCTTGCTTCTACTGTGCTCCAGGACAGTGCACAGAGCACCCAGACAGGTAACCCAGCCAGAAACACTGCCAGAGCCTCCAGAGAGGAAAACCCAGGTGATTGGTACTATTTTGAACCAGGGGTCAAAAAACTGCCTGAAAAGGGTCAGGTGGTACAATTTTTTTTGCCACACAGTCTTTATACGCCACACAGTCTGTCACAACCCTTAAACTCTCTAGACAATATGTAAGCAAATGGGCTGTGTTTCAACAAAACTTTATTTATAGAAACAGGCAGCCAGCCTGAGGATCATAGTTTGCTGACTCCTGTTTGTTTGTGTGTTTGTTTGTTTGTTTGTTTGTTTGTTTAAATTTATTTTTTTCAGTTACAGTTGATATTCAATATTAGTTTATGTTAGTTTCAGGAATATAGCATAGTACATATTTATAATTCATGCAGTGATTACCCCCAATACCAACTCCTGTTTTAAACAATAGTCAATAAATATAACCCGTGTGACTTTTCCACATGATTATGTTTGAGGCCCTCTGCTCTTTCATTTTCCTATGAATGTTTACGTTGTGTAGTTGACATGCGTTACGTAAACATGAAAATAATGCTGCTTTTCTCGTTTTCTCGAATTTATTCCAAAGTGGGTGCCATACGAGTTTAAGCCCCAAAAGAACCTTCAGGTTCTTCCTTTCTCCTCCAAACACTTTTTATTCTCTTTTTTCCTTTTTTTTGTTTTGTTTTGTTTTGTTTTGTTTGTTTAAAGCAGCTTTCTTACCCTGCCGCCCTTGATGTACTGAAACATATGCTTAGCACACATTCTTCATGCAGAGCTGAAAACCAGCCTTGCATATATAATACAGCATAAGATCTTTGGGCTCCTGCTTTCTGTTTCTAAATTTTTCTCACCTTCACTTCCTGATCATAAATAATATTTTTACCTAGTGTGGTCAGCATGACCTCTCAGTGGAGTGGTGGTAAAGACAGCTCACAGAGACTGTTGTAAGACTTCAGTGATGTTGCTGAAATGTTACTGGTCTTTCATGCTCCCTCTGAGAGTCTAGTAAAAGCTATGCATGATTCCCCCAGAAAACTGCAGCACCCACACACACACCTGCGAAACTGCCATACAACTTCAAGGGCTTGTGGATCTCCACTGGAGGCCATCTGCAAACACCAAGTTACAGGAGAACTTCTGACCTAGGAAGATAGAAATATTTGTCATTAATATTTCTTTAATAACAACTTTATAGAGGTATCATTCATATTCTATAAAAGTCACCCTTTTAACGTATATAGTTCAGTGGTTTTAGTATATTTAGAGTTGTACAGCCATAACCCCTGCCTAATTTTAGAACATTTTTATCACCCCAAAAATAAACCCTGTGCTCATTAGCAGTCACTCCACATTACCCCTCCTGTCATAGATGTTTATGACAGGTATATTTATATTACCACAAACAGTGAGGTTACCAAGAAACAATCAGTCCTATTCACACTTGAGAATTAAATCTAAATTAGTTGGTAAAGGACCCCTTTGAAACTTGAGTCTAACCTGTATCTGGTGGAAGAGTCTTTTATTTCTCCAGCTAGAACAGACGCCTGTGAATATTTTCTTCCTTGCCAGAGGCTGCTCCCAGCAGCAACTCCCAGCTGCCTCCTTCCTGTCTGACTGAGATGGTGCCAAGTCCCTCCAAACCCCGGGCAGCAGAGCTGGTCCTACAGCGAATGCAGCAGTTCAAGAGAGCAGACCCTGAGCGTTTGAAACATGCCTCAGAAGGGTGCCCCCTCCAGGCTGCACTTGAAGAAAACGTCCCACAGGGTCCTGGAGAGGCGATGATGGCAGGGAATGGTATGATGGGAGTTGTCTGTCTTCCCAGCAGGAATAAGTTCTAACTCAGGAGGAAGGGAGGCAGGAAGGAACTGGCATTCAAGGCGTTTCTGCTGAGGGCGGGCTCTGCCCGCCCTTCTACCTGTGCCACTTCATTATGTCTAGCCAGAGAACGAAGGGTCTCTTGGGGCATTTCTCACTTAGTTTCTATGGCAAGGTACCTCTTCCTCTTTTTTAAATATTTACTTTTTACTATGAAATTTTCCCATACAGAAAAGTCAAAAAAATATATATTATGATGAACTCCCTATATCCTCAACCTAGAATTAACAATTGTTAACATTTTGCCATATACTTTTTATGTCTATAAATACACATGCTTCTTCTGTACCATATGAAAGTAAGTTATAGACATCATGATACTTTACCCCTAGATTCTCCTACAGAATCACAATACCACTATCACACCTAATTCCATAATATTGCCTGGTATCCAATTCAAATTCCAATTTTCCCCGGTTGTCCCAAGGATAGCTTTTGTAGCTGGTTTCATGTTTTTCTGCACGAGGATTTGTCAGAACTATAAGTTCACACATTGCATATGGCTATAGCTAGCTCAGTAGTCTCTTAAGATCTAGACTCTAGAACAGTCTCTTTGTCTTTTTGTTGTTGTTGTTTAATGATACTTTTTGAAGAGTCCAGGATAACTGACTTTTAAATTTTCCCACTTTCTGGATTTGCTTATTTCTTCATATTTAACCCCTTCCTGCAATCCCTATTTTGCATTACAGTCAGTAAACTAGAAGTCTTATTAGCTCCAGAGTAAACAGTTTGGCAACAGCGCTTTGCAGGTGCTGTGCCCTACATATTGTGCCATCCCAAGAGGCACATAATGTTGGGTGGTTACATTCTTTATCCCCTAAACAATATGAATTCTCATCTTTGATGGAAATACATAAAAGGAAAAGAAACAGGAAGAAACTGTATTGACAGACCTACTGTTAATGAGCATGTAGTCTTTTGGTGTTAGATTTGCAGATTTCACGTTAGAAGCACTTAGGAGTCTCAGGCTACCCCTAAGGTTCACAGGTAGTGATATGACATGGCATCTGTCCTTGAGCATCCAAGGGGTACAGAGGAGTCGCTCAGCCAGTGCATGAGCCCAGCACTTCCCCTACGTATGACTTGGTTCCTTCCATATATCTTCACATCATACTCCATAATGCTCAGGCCAAAGAAACTATTGATTTGCTAAAAAAAAAAAAAAAAAAAGCAAAAAAAAAGCGTGATGCTTTTCTGGCTTCGGTGGAAAGAGTGATAGGCCATAGGAATATTTAAGAATGGGAGATTTATGAAGTTCTCAGGGCATATCCCTCATAAGTGCCGCAAGTCTGCTCCAGCAATATCAGATGTGACAGGGCCACAGCGGTGGGCATGGCTACCTTGGGAGGCATCTCAAGGCATTTCACTGTGACCTGGTTCTTCAAGGCTGGGCATCAAAGGTCATAGCAGTAGGAAAGGTTGAGCTTTGAAGAGAAAACCTAGATTTGTTAGAACAGGAGCCTTGTAAACCTGGCATGTCCAAGATAGGAGACTTTAGCAGAAATGGGAAAAATGAAAGGCAAGTTCTCGAGGACCTTGATACTCAGAGTGGTCCTGGACCATCAGTATTGGCCTCGCCTGGGACTTGTTAGAAGTGCAGGACCTCAGGCTCCACCTAGGTCTCTGGAATGTAAACCTTCATTTTAACAAGGTCTCTAGGTGATTCTTACACATATTGAAGTTTGAGAAGTACTGTTCTCAGAACCCCATTTAGTGCCCCATTTCAGTGGACGGTGCCAAGCACAAGGCAGAGCAGTGCCACGTCTGGTTTCTTCACACTCCACTCGGTGTCCATGCTTTGCGAGTTCTGACAGATGTGCGGAGGTCTGAGGATGAGCTCATCCTCATGGATCTTTGTGCCTCTCCGCAGGGGCTGGACCCTGGCTCCCTGCCAACGAGAGTGATGCTACAGTGGCCTTGGCCCTACAGCAGGAGTTTGGGCAGGAACAAGCATCTGGACTTGACGAGAGCCTGGAGGAAAAGGGATTGTTCTTTTGCCAGATCTGTCAAAAGAACCTCTCGGCTATGAACGTGATACGAAGGGAACAGCACGTGAACCGGTAGGAGCAACTCAGCTGTAACCTCTCTGTGGTCAGCTTTTCCGTGGGTGTCACCAGATCCAGGGGCCCCTCTGGCTGTAGTGGGAATCTTGAGATACCTTACCGTGACAGTACCGTGTTGGTGTCAACCTGCTCCTGCTTTTTTTTTTAACAGCTTTATTGAGATACAATTCACGTACCATATAATTCACCCATTTAGCGTGAACAATTCAATGGCTTTTATTTAGTATGTTCAGAGTTGCACAACCGTCATCATAATCAATTTTAGAACATTTTCATCACCCCCAAAATAGCACTTGTACCCATTATCACTCACTCACCATTCCCCCTGCCCCAGTCCCTGGCAACCACTAATCTGCTTTCTGTCTCTATGGATTTGTCTATTCTGGACATTAGTGGAATCACACAATATATGGCCTTTTGTGTATGGCTTCCTTCACTTAGCATGGTGTTTTCATGGCTCATCTATGTTGCAGCCTGTGTCAGTGCTTCATTGTTTTTTATGGCTGAGTAACATTCCATTGTATGGACAGACCACGTTTGTTTATCCACTCATCCACTGATGGACATTTGGATTGTTTCCACCCTTTGGGTATTGTGAATAGAGCTGCTGTGAATATGCATTTCATGTGTTTGCTTGAGTGTTTTCAGTTCTTTTGGGTATATACTTAGGAGTGGAATTGCTGGGTCATATGGTGACTCAGTGTGTTCTTCAGCCACCTTTGCTAACGGATTCCTAACTTCCCTGTCTGGAGGCTGACTACACAGTATGGAGGGACTGGCCTTGGGGGTACAACACTTGGCCCACAGTCTCCATGTAGATGTGGATTATGTTTGCTTTAGCCCATATTACCAGGGAGGGTGGTTCTCCGATGTTTACTGTCTTCCTCTAGATGCTTGGATGAGGCTGAAAAGTCACTGAGATCTTCCGCGCCTCAGATCCCTGAATGCCCCATTTGTGGCAAGTCATTTCTCACCCTAAAGAGCAGACTCAGTCACTTGAAACAGTGTGCAGTGAAGATGGAGGTTGGCCCCCAGCTCCTGCTCGAGGCTGTGCGGCTGCAGACAGCTCAGCCTGAGGGGACGTGCAGCACACCAGCCCCGGCACCGGCCCCGGCATCCAGGTGAGAAAAGGAAGAAAATCAGAGAAGTACTTTGATTTGTTTTTTAAAAAAGGCCATGTGTAGTGCTGGAGGACAATAGAGCCCTCTTTGATTCTGGAAATGAAACATGACGGGTAAGTCAGTCTCCACAGCGATTGAGGAGGGGACAAATTCTGCACCCCCGAAGGCTTTGAAATGGTCCATGCGGGTGTGGGTGTGTCTGTGGAAAGGAAAGGACCAGTTGGACTGGTTTCCTCGAGGTTCTTCCTGAGCATTTTCCATTCCCAGGATCCTGCAGGTCAGTGCCCTCTAGAGCAGCTAAGAATTTGGTAATTCACTTTACCACATCCATTACATGTGTGCTACAGCCTGGCTTCTACTCAGTGTAGTCCGATTTTCATACCATTAATATAAGATTACTCAGCATAGTTCAAAGAGTTGGTGAGACAGAACCACAGGCCTTTTTCTTTTTTTTTCAATTTGCATGAATTAAATGCTTAAGTGTTAAAAAGGAGGCCCTGCTGATGAAACAAGTCTTCAGCATGCATGCCACAGGCACACAAGTGGTGGAGGTCAAGTTTGGTCCACATTGCTCCTGCCACTGTGGACACCAGCATAGACCCCAGTATTACAGAGAACACAGGCAGCGTGGGCTTGGGACCTCCTTCCCCGGACAGCTGTCAAGAACAAAGGGAAGGCAAAGGGCGGTTTGTGTGCCCCGGCCACAGACTTGCACACAGTTCTGGGCATCTGAGCTGGGCTGGTACTGAGAGGGGGAGGGCAGAGACCGAATCTTCACTGGTGGGCCTGTCTATCTATCAGCACTAGAAGTGTAGACTCAGAAGCCTTAAGGCCAAGAACAGACATTACCTAAGCCATTGCTTGCCTTTTGGCAGGACCACACTGAAAATAATTATTCAGATAAAACATATCTGCTTTTTAAATACCTCCAAGAAGTGAAACAAGATGTGTGAGGGTCTTTCTAGACGGTTGTTCAAGTAGAAAGCTACAAATGGACACCCTCACTGAGACTTTGAGCCTCACCTGCCCTAAGGCCAGTCCTGGGGCATTTGTAACTGTGGGGTAATCAGGACTCCCTGGCCAGGGCACAGTGCTGGTCAGAGCTACCCCTTACCCCTACACCTCTCACCTGCTTTCACCTGGG